ACCAAGATTTATGGCTAACAAGAGCACGGAAGTCTGCTAATCCGGGAACTGATACCCAGATTTATTTCGTGTCTTTTCAACTACATTCCTGTATTCATAAGCAACACTCTCAACGACCTTGAGTCGGCGTTGTAGTGTAGTCAGCTGCAAACAAGTTAAAAAACAAAAAAACAAGAACAAGATTTATAAATAAATATTCTTTTGTGAGCAAAACGATTCCCTCGCTCTCGCTCCACCGATTTCACTTATCTTTTGTTGATATTGATAGTGCTACGAAGCTCGATAATCGCGATGGAGTGGAGGCCCCGCTGATAACGTAGTTTATGGATAATGGAAATGCAACAATGTTCCGTCTTTGGCAATCTGACGGGCAGTACGTCTCCCCTAAACACGGCAAAAATAAACAGAATAATAAAGCAGAAACTAAAAAAAATAGCATTTCTGGTCTGTCAAACGGTAAATTGTAATTGCTATGCAGAAGTCGAAAACCTGCCCGCAACATTGCGATTTCCCGAAAATGTCTGGGCTTCACCACCGCTGGGTGACTGTTCGTACGGTGGAGCTTGGAGCTTCCAGGCTCGCGGAATGTGTCTAGGTCGTTATATTGCTCGTTCCACTGCCTGCTGTTGAGTTGACAACGTTGTCTTCTGGTTTCTTGGCCTAGGCGACCAAACCCGCTCTCAATGTTCGCTTCGTTTTCTCTGTTTTTCAACTTTCTGGCAGCAAGAAAAAAAATTAGATCTTAAATTGGTAGTCATGACTATCTTAAAACGAACTTATCCTTCGCAAATTAATCAGCATTTTGAGTTCGAAATAAACCCAATTTTAAATATCTTAGTTAAATCTATCATGTAGTCAAAAATTAAATCTTTTAATTTGTTACTGCTTAGCGTAACCACAAGATTAGCATTTTCTTCAGTGAAGTAATCGCACTGGTACCGGTTTTATACATATTTCGTTCGCCATTTTATCTTTTCTGCTATTACAGCAATGGTCATATCGATGCCAGATACGAGACGAGACCTGGCGCACCTGTTGAAAATCAAGTTCTTGCAGTTTTACATATTACTTTTTATGTATAGAAGTGAAGTAGGCAGAGCTGCACTGGAAGCGTACTACATACGCGTTACACGTTAAATAATAGATTGTACTGAAGAGAGTTGTTCAATTTTTTAAAAGTAGTTAAGGTGTAGAAGCGAGCTATTCAAATCATTTGTCATTTGAAATACACTTTTTCAAAAAATATTTAACAATAGAGTTTGGCAACTCTGTTTTAATGCAGTCCTACCTGTTGGCTTTTGCAGCACAACTTTCGCAATTTGTATTTGCATTTTCCATAAGCCAACTTCTGTTGCACATTATGCTAATGACCTGCCGCTGTTCTCCTCGTCTGTTCCCCTTCTCAAAACACCGTCCAGCCATTCGACTCTGCGGGTCGAGGTGATTAATCAAAAAGCTCACAGCACTCGCAGAGACAGTGCCACATAAAAAAATGTTGCCGTATTGCCAGGTAATACAATTTGCAAGTGTTGACCTATACTATAGATAACCGCTAGTGTCTACCCATTCCAATATCTGGCTCCTTGTTTTCAATTGGCAAAAGTGTTAAAGGCGTGTGTCCGCTTGCTTTGGTTTTTCTTTCCTGCAGTTCAAAATAATAGTTTTTGCAACAATGAGAAAAACAAATCAGTTTTATACATTTAGTTTCGAGTTTGTATATAATTATTAAAATTTTGCTTACAAAAAAGCTTTTTCAAAGTGATACTAATTGCAGTTGTTTTAGGTGCATAACATAATAGTTTATTATTTATTTTCGTGCTAGGAAACGAAAAGCCAAAATTGTTTAGACTTTGTAGCCCCTCACTGGGACGGCCACACCACATGAAAGCCTTTCAATACGGAATTCCGTTAGCCTCAATTAGTGCATCCTACCAACCCCCATCGCCACGGGTTTGTGGGGTTGCTGTCGTTAAATGAAAACAGATATGCAATAAAAAAGAGTACCCTCGCCGCTTTCATGAGTCGCATAATTGAAACCAACTTCCTACTCAGTGGGCAAACTCCGGAGTCAACAGCGATGTTATCCACCCCTCGGAGAGGGCCCGAGGTCGCAAGGGAGGAATAAACGGGAAGTCCTTCTCCCGAAGCTCGTGCCCCACAAAGCATGCCAATGTCATGAATATTATTGACATGAATTTCCACCCACACAAATCCCAAACTCTCGGCTGAGGCAACGAGTACGCCATGTTCTTTTAAAGGGAGCACACTTCCGCAAAAACAGAAAAGAACAAAGAAATTTTAAATAGGAAACACATGAAGGTCAACCCTTTTTGCCATTGCTCTGAGGGGAGTTTTCTGTGTAGCTGGAGTTGCTTTCGATGGGCTGTCAAAGTCAGAGCCCGATAATAAATCGATAAACGACAGACAGCGAGCACCAAATGGACAATGGGGCCCAACTCCCCTTCTCTGGTGGGTGGGTTCTCGGTCAGCGGACTTGTCATGCCTTCAGCTCGCTCCCCACTCTATGGTATAAACCAAGCTGACCTCGAGTTTCTGGAATGCCATGTTGGGTTTTTGTTTTATTTTTTAGGGGCTTGTCAAAATGCACCAAAAATGCATTTCAGAATGGTAATGCTGAATAAATGAGGTTTTAAGTCAGTTATGTTCAAACTAAAGGTAATCCTAAATAACTTTACTTTGGTAGCATGTTTGCATCTTAAGCAATGCAATTTAAAACTATTTCTTTTATTCAAGGATAGGAGTTTTTTGAGATGTTGGCAAAAGTATAGGACAGTAAAACTAACCATTATTATCAGAAAAACTTATCATCTATCAATACGGTGATGAATTAGATTATTTGAAACAACATCCATTTTTTTCCTTTTTTATATCTTTTATATCATATAGCTGTTTTCATCAGACTATCATGATTTTAGGAATAAGACTTTATGAACAACGCTTTAATTTCGAATTCAATTGCATCAAAATCGGACGACTATATCATATAGCTGTCATATAAACAATATGGAAAATGAATAGAACAATCTTCATAGCTTCGATGTTGTTTACCCTTTATGTATTTTGTTCGACATACATATTTAATAACTGCAAGGGTATATCAGCTTCGGCTGGCCGAACTAGCTTCCTTTTCTGTTTAATTACTATCGAATTTCAAATTAATGTTATCAAAATCCGACTATATACACTGATGAGCAAAACTGTAACACGATTTCATTGTTTCAACTTCAAAGGTCTGAAACTTTTTTTCTAATGAACGCATTTTAAAGATCTTAGTCTTGTTTTGTAGGTTATATCATTTACTACTATTTACTAAAATTAAAGGCCATTTGATATCAGTTAAAGAAAATGACACGCCAAACTGTAAAAAAAAGTCAAATGTTACAGTTTTGCACTCTGGTTATTTTTTTAACAAATATTTTTATTAATGATTTTTTAAAAATGAGTCCACATCCCCTTGGACTTTTACAGCTCTTGTATGCGATTGGGCATACTTTGGGTATACCGCTGTACCATTTCCGGAGGAATAGCATTCCATACGCCCCGTGTCCATTCCCACAACTCCTTCATTCCACTTGAAGGAACTGCATATTTCGCCAGCCGCGATGTCACATGACTCCACAAGTTTTCTGTTGGATTCATGTCGGGAGATTGTGGTGGCCACTTCATAGATTGAAAATTCTGTTTTGAAATCCTATTTTTCACCAATATGGACATGTGGTTCTGTTTGATTTTAAATTTCAACCGTTCATCTGTGGGTGGTCTAAAAAATTGGTGGTCAGTGACTCAAAGTGAAGTTAGAAAAAAACTTACAAAATTCAATCCTGAACTTTTGAAAATGGAAAGAATACATGCATATACATATGTATGTACGAGTATGTATTTGTACATAAGTGACCGAATAGTTGGTTTGTTAGAGAAACGCTATGCAAGTCGTGCTTGAGAAGACAGGTGTAAGACATAAAAATGTACATAGGCACTTGCATTGAATTTAAGGCTAAGACAAATCCTCACATTTGTTAAAATCTAAGAAAAACTCTTTGAATAAAATCTGTTATTAAAACCTTTAAAACTAAATCTTGAATCCTGTCCACCTTTTCACGCCATCTGTGTGTGTAGAGCTCTGTCCCAAATACAACAACAACAAGAGGAACAGTGACAAAAACCGGAAACCGAGAAGCCAAAAAGAGCCCTCGTCGAACTTCGCTTGGTTGCATTCGTCGGGCTCTGAGAGCCCTCCGAACCCCAAACCCCCAAAAGAGTATTTTCCTGAAAACCAGAACATCAAAATCAGCAAAAAAAAAAACAAGAAAGGAAGCAGCTAGCTTCGGCAAGCCGAAGCTTGTATACCCTTGTAGTCATCAAATTTGTAGAACAAAATACATTAAGGCTGAACAACATCGAAGCTTTGACGATTTTCCTATTCATTTTCCATAGTTTCGGCTATTGTTCATATGGCATGTCCGATTTTGATGAAATTCAAAAGTCTTTCGAAAACTCTATATTCCAAAAATCATGCTTGTCTGATGAAAACAACAATGTTATAATTTTATTTCCGTTATTTCTATATATGTATGTAAATTTGTCGATCTTTCCTAAGGCAGCTATGTATGTACATATGTACATACATATATGATAACGTTGTTGGATTTTAATAAAAAAAATTTCTCGTCTGAAGGGTTTTTAAAAAACTCCAAACATATTTTGAAAATCATGCTCGTGGGATTAAAGGGTATAAAAAAACAAATACTGACCACTTGCTCTTCGCCTCTCCCTATCGACACTCTCCCTTTGGAGAAGCACCCACGCAATCTTAGCTGAGAATCAATCTTGTGCCTCTTTTTCTTTTTCATATGTATGCATGTATGAATGTACATAAAAACTTTTTGTTTATTTTCTTTTGTGCTAATTTTTTACATACACACATGCAATACATCACAAAGAATATTTTTGTTCTTTATCTAACCCCAAAGTAAAGACAAAAACTGACGCAAGCTAAGCGCTCTCTTGGCTTGTCTCTCTCTCTCTTTTTCCATCTGACCCCTCCCCTTCCTATATGCTTCGCTGTGGGCGCTTGTAGCGTCTTACTCAGAGTGTATGTATGTCTCTTTGAGTGCAGGCGTGTGTGTGTGGAGCTGCCTTCGTTGCTGAGTCTTCTTCTTCGTGGTTTGCTTCGCCGCCGCCGCCGTCGTCGTCGTGGTTGTTGTTGTTTTATGCAAGGTCGTTTGCGTACAAAATTCAACATTATTTGAAGGTCGTCCTTTGCTTGTTCTGCGTTCTGCGCGTCGCTTCTTATTCGCTATCACTCGCCCGCTCTCTCTCCCTCTCTCCTTCTGGCTGGGTTTGATTATCCCTCTCTTTCGTGTTCTCAGTTTTTCTTGGTGCAGTGCGTGGGTTGTTGTCCCCGCTAAACGCAATAAACTCTACTTCGGGGTCGATTGGGTTCAGCTTTACAATGTAACGCATCTTTTGCGGTACCTGGTAATTTATAAAAACAAGTCTGAAAGTAATGCAAATTTTTATTTTTTAGCAGTAAATCATAATACTCTGTACATATTCATGCAGTAGATATGTACATAATTGATTGTCGGCCAGTTTCGACCGATCCTTGGACATCCTTGGAAATTCCATATATGTACATATGAGCAAATATCATTTCGGAGGATACAGACAGAAAATAAGTCGTAGAAAAGTCTTCAAATGTTTTGCACTTAATTTCCGATCATCTCATCTGCCCAATCTCACAACTCATGTGTCCACTAAAAGACCACAGCAGAGTGGCCCTGGGTTATTGTACCCTAAATTTATGATAATTCCATCCATCCCATCGGCTTTGCGGCTCTTTCGCTTGGCCGATTGCTTCATCGCTCGTTTGTTCCATCGCCGCGGGTCGATGACATTTTTCGTTGCTGGCCCATAGCCTATAAGTCGTACGTATGTATGTATGTACATTCATTTGTATGGATGTATGTAAGTATGTATGTATGTATGTATGTATGTTCATAGTACGTATGTATGTATCGAGCTATTGTTTGTGTCCAAAGCGGAATGGGGAGACCAGAAGGGAGGGGGAGTGGGTACGGATTGGTCAGCGCAGCGCTGATAAGGAGTGAATGAGCGAAATTACGCTAACCGCCTCGAACGGTTCTTTGAAGCCGAACCCAATTAGCATAAGTGCCGGTGGAAGGTCGGGCAAGGTCGCCAGGGTGGGTGGCTGCAGGGTGGCATTGACCTCGTTGCCGACCGTATGCCCTCCGCATTCCCGTGAAAGGCCTTTGTTCGCGTTGCTAGGCAATCGAGAGAACCCATTTAAATAGAATTGTGGGAGAAGCCCAGCCGGAAAAAGTTTCCAGAGTCGGTGGCAAACTGGTTGGTTAGTTCCCAAGCTCACAAAAACGCTTTTAAAATGCGTGTCCACTTTGGCCGAGAAGATCACTAACGTTCTCATCCCGTCTTGCCTTCCAGTTTTACAACACAATGGAACTGCATCAGCGACACCTCTCCAACTTTTACAAACTGCACAACTGAGAGCCCAGAGCCGTTGATTAGTGAGCCATTCTCAGGAGAAACGAGATCCCCGAGGAGGAGCAAGCAACATGCCCAACATGTCCAGCATAAAAGCCGAGCAGCAGAGTGCTCCGCTCGGAGGACCCGGCGGCTACCAACTGCCGGTCAACATGTGCACCACCGCCGTGGCAACCACGACGCCCCCCTGGCCGGAGGAGCCAGCGGACCCCGGCACAACGTGTCCGTGACGAACATCAAGTGCGAGCTGGACGAGCTGCCCACGCCGAACGGGAACCTGGTGCCGGTCATCGCCAACTACGGCCACGCCAGCCTGCGCATTCCGCTGGGAGGGCAGCCGGCGGGCGGCCACGAGGAGGAGTCCGACTCGGAGGCGGAGCTGGCGAACATCGAGAGCCTGAAGGTGCGTCGCAGGACGGCGGCGGACAAGAACGGGCCGCGGCCGATGTCCTGGGAGGGCGAGCTGAGCGACACCGAGGCCAACGGGGCCGGGGAGCTGATGGAAATGGAGCCGGCGATCAAGAGCGAGGTGGTCGCCGCCGGCACGCCCCTGCAGCCCGCCTGCGCCCTGCAGCCGATCAAGACGGAGCTGGAGAACATCGCCGGGGAGCTGCAGCAGCAGGGCAAGTCCTACCCCATGTCCACCTCCCAGTCGCACTCGGCGGCGGCGCTCAAGACGAAGCTGGCGCCGACGCAGAGCGACCCGATCAACCTCAAGTTCGAGCCGCCGCTGGGCGACAACTCGCCGTTGCTGGCCGCCCGCAGCAAGTCGAGCAGCGGGGGCCACCTGCCGCTCCCCGCGAACCCCAGCCCCGACTCCGCCATACATTCCGTGTACACACACAGCTCGCCCTCGCAGTCGCCGCTCACCTCGCGCCACGCCCCCTACACGCCCTCGCTGAGCCGCAACAACAGCGACGCCTCGCACAGCAGCTGCTACAGCTACAGCTCCGAGTTCAGCCCCACCCACTCGCCGATCCAGGCGCGGCACGCCCCGCCCGCAGGCAGCCTGTACGGCAACGGGGGCGTGCACCACCACGGCGTGCTCTACCGGCCGCTCAAGGTCGAGGCCTCGTCCACAGGCCCACCGGGCGGGGGGCAGGGGGGGCAGGAGGCGCAGAACCTCAGCATGGACGCGGCATCCAGCGGAGCCGTGGACGCCGTGGGATCGGGCTCCTCGCTGCCGGCCTCCCCGGCGGGCATCTCGCGCCAGCAGCTGATCAACTCGCCGTGCCCCATCTGCGGGGACAAGATCAGCGGCTTCCACTACGGCATCTTCTCGTGCGAGTCCTGCAAGGGCTTCTTCAAGCGCACCGTGCAGAACCGCAAGAACTACGTGTGCGTGCGCGGCGGCCCCTGCCAGGTGAGCATCTCCACGCGCAAGAAGTGCCCGGCCTGCCGCTTCGAGAAGTGCCTCCAGAAGGGCATGAAGCTCGAGGCGATCCGGGAGGACCGGACGCGCGGCGGCCGCTCCACGTACCAGTGCTCCTACACGCTGCCCACCTCGATGCTCAGTCCGCTCCTCAGTCCGGACCAAGCGGCAGCGGTGGCCAGTCAGCAGCAGCAGCAACAGCAGCAGCAGCAGCGGCTGCATCAGTTGAACGGCTTCGGGGGCGTGGCCATTCCCTGCTCGACTTCCCTGCCAGCGAGCCCCAGCCTGGGGGCAGCTTCCATCAAATCGGAGGAGGCGGCGGAGACGGGCAAGCACGTCCTGCGAACCGGAAGCGTACCGCCCCTGTTGCAGGTGAGCTTGAGCGGCACCAGAGAAGGTGAAAGGTTGCAGCATGTTTGGGTTGCAAGAAAGAGGAAATCAGATGCGAATATCCTTTGACTGCTCAGATTATTTCTGTCCAAGTTATGTTTTCATTTGAACAGATTAGGTTTCAATAGAGGCGATATAGATGATAGATGTCTAGATGATAGATGATAGATGACAGATGACAGATGATAGATGATAGATGATAGATGATAGATGATAGATGATAGATGATAGATGATAGATGATAGATGATAGATGATAGATGATAGATGATAGATGATAGATGATAGATGATAGATGATAGATGATAGATGATAGATGATAGATGATAGATGATAGATGTCTAGATGATAGATGATAGATGTCTAGATGATAGATGATAGATGATAGATGATAGATGATAGATAATAGATGTCTAGATGATAGATGATAGATGAAGAGTGTTTCACTTGGGAATGATTTTAAATTAAACGTAAAGTCATTACATTCATTAGCAGAAAATAAATGTACGAGAGATATGTAACACATTATTGTTGGTGTGCATAGAAAAGTTGGTTTTAAATTGGCTATCTACTTGTAGTGATATAATCAGGGTGTTTTCTCTTCCGTGGTCGCAGCAAAAGTGATCTTTATTTCATCATCTCTGTTAATGCTTAGCAAGAGAGAGACGTACATACATAGAGATGGGTTTACATAGTGTTTCTTAAAGGAGTAAGGGGGACATAAAGAATGACTTAACTTAAGGAATATACAATAATGTTAACTGCTTATCAAGCAGTGCTTAATAATAGGTATATGTACACAGGGCTGCTTGCTACATACTTACATACGTAATCACTTTGCTGGAAGACCACCATCTGACACAGATTCTGTTGCACGCTTGCAGGAAATCATGGATGTCGAGCACCTTTGGCAGTACACCGACGCCGAGCTGGCCCGGATCAACCAGCCCCTGTCCGCGTTCGCCTCGGGCAGCTCCTCGTCGTCCACCTCGTCCGCAGGATCTTCCGGCAGCAACGCGCAGCCGCAACCGCAGCTGACCAATCCGCTGCTGGCCAGCGCAGGTCTCTCGTCCAACGGCGAGAACGCCAACCCCGATCTAATCGCCCACCTGTGCAACGTGGCCGACCACCGCCTCTACAAGATCGTCAAATGGTGCAAGAGCCTTCCGCTCTTCAAGAACATCTCGGTTCGTTGTGCAGTTCCTCACTCCTTTAGGTTCCTAACTCATCCCTCAACTCTTTCAGATCGATGACCAGATCTGCTTGCTCATAAACTCGTGGTGCGAACTGTTGCTCTTCTCCTGCTGTTTCAGGTCGATCGACACCCCCGGCGAGATCAAAATGTCGCAGGGCCGAAAAATAACCCTTTCACAAGCAAAAACTAATGGCCTGCAGGTGAGCATTAAAAGTCTATATTTTCACTCGGAGCTGTTGCTAGGAACGAGGTCATTGGTATACTCGTGGGCATGCATATTAGGTAAACTAGTCACCAGTGGCAGCAATTTAAAAACTTTTCTGTTGCAGACCTGCATTGAACGGATGCTCAATCTGACGGATCACCTGCGGCGGTTACGCGTTGATCGCTACGAATACGTCGCCATGAAGGTGATTGTGCTGCTGCAGTCAGGTAAGCATTTGCATTTGCATACGAGGAAAAGCGAACTTATCGCCTATGAAACACATGTGTCTCTGCAGATACGACGGAACTGCAGGAGGCGGTGAAGGTGAGGGAGTGCCAGGAAAAGGCGCTGCAGAGCTTGCAGGCCTACACCCTGGCCCATTATCCCGACACTCCGTCGAAGTTTGGAGAGCTCCTGCTGCGCATTCCCGACCTGCAGCGAACGTGCCAGGTGAGTCAAGAATGGAATATCCACATTTAACCGGTGCTATATTTGCCTCATTCATTCGTTCCACTAGCTGGGCAAAGAGATGCTGACGATCAAAACTCGCGATGGGGCCGACTTCAATCTACTAATGGAGCTCTTGCGCGGAGAACATTGACAATTGATTACAGAGAGGAAGAGCTGCTGCCGCTGGCAACAGAATTTTTACATATTTAGTATTAGATACGTATCTTCTAGGGATAAGTTCTCTACTTATAAGCTCTGAAAACATGTGCCTAAAAACCAAAGCCACGATAGCAGCCACATCAAGCCCACTGGTCGAATTTGAATCTAAGCGCAAGATTGCCAAATTTTTACACCAATATATATTTTGATATAAGCCATGTGCAGGGCCCTGGATTGCTGTTGTTGTCGGCTAGAGTTTCAGTAAGAAAAGTATATATTGATTTTGCTATATATACATATTTGACTTATGTATAGTGTAAACTAAAGCACACATGGAAAATGAAAAGACTAAACAAATTTATTTAAAATATTACTTTTACTATTATGAAGGGAGAACAACAAAAAGGCAGAGAACACACTAAAGGCAAAGAAGTACATTTAGTTGCAGCAGCTAGCAACGTTTTTATACCTTCCTATATACGGGAAAATATTCAATGTATTTTTAATAAAACGAGAAACCGATTTGGTTCTTAAGGAGAGCTGGGCTGCTGGAATTTTCGATAATATATCTATAACTATATTTATCATTAGAAGACGGATGAAAAGTCCAATTTTTAAATGTTGTAGCATTTAGTTTTAGTGCAATTTCACCCATGTCTACATAATACATAAATATCTTCAGCCAGATGTTTTCGCATACATATATAAAACAAAAGACCACTCGAAATTGCCATCCCTGGTTGGCTAGGACTATTCCAGTTATGCTGTTTGTTGCATAAAAAAAACAAAACACAACTACATACATAAATCAAATTTATTATTTTATATCTGAGTTGTAATTTTAATTTGATTTTTACAATATTATAGTTATGTTACCTTTACTTAAATAGCTGAAGTTAATCCTGCAACAGGATTCAAAACACGTAAATACACAAAACAATATTAAGCGTATAATTTTTGCTTATATCTTAGATAGTTAGATATGTATCCTGCATATGTGTGTGTCTATATGTGAGTACGTTAACTTTAAAACTCCCTGCCCCACCAGAAAATCACACTAAACAAATGTATTTCCAAATATAATAAACCTATATCCACAAAAGGAAGTTAAAGGGATAACAGCTTAACAAACCTAAAGTTGAAGGCGGAAGTCCAAGCGATCTTGCGGAGAGTTTCACAAACATCTATAACTTGTTGTTAGGAGATTGTTTTATTAACACTTTAAGTTTCAAAATTATTTGCTCCTTTGTATTAAAAGTTTAGTGTATCAGTTCACGTGTAGTCTTCTTAAGAATAATTCAGAACGCGTTTTGAAGTTGTTAGCTTTTTTTGTTTTGGATTGCACCATTTCATGAGGATCTCACTTCATACTGATCGTGGTCTTCTGCCCTATACCGCTTCTGTCCGTCAACTTAACCCTAAGTAAAATGGAAAATAGTTAAATGTTAATTTAATGGATAAAGTCCCTTAACCTAATATCAATTTACAGATTTCCGTAGTTAAATAATTAAGACCAATCGAAACTAAATTGTTTTTGAAATTCGCTAGCATCGCAAACACACTCAAAATAGAAGGATTATGAACTAACAAAACACTTATTTACAAGTTTTTTGAATGTTGACGGAGCTGCTTGAATTTTTCTACTTAAGCACTTCGCTTAAGTATTTAAAGTTTGCTCAAAATTTATAATCCAAGAGTTTGTAGTTTATAAATTTCTTTCTTTGTTTGAGGTGTTTGATTCCGCTGCACACCTACTCATCCCTTAGTAAATATTTAATTTCATATTGCTTTTAAATAATTGTAATAATTAAAATTCAAACAACAATTGATCAACAATTAAAAATATCTTATCAATGCAATATTTTGTAATAAAAAAAATTTAAATGCAAAAGATACATTTTTGTTAATGGGTTTGCGGAATTAGGTAGTATTACAAGAGTTGAAATATATAGTAAAACAAGAAAGGAAGCTAGCTTTGGCAAGCCGAAGCTTATATACCCTTGCAGTCATCAAATATTTCGAACAGAATACACAAAGGCGAAACAATATCGAAGCTACGACGAATTTTCTATTAATTTTCCATATTTTTGACTATTGTTCATTTGGCAGCTATATGATATAGTCGTCCGATTTTGATGAAATTTTATTTGTTATTCAAGAATCGTTAGAAAACTCTAAAAAAATCATGATTTTCTGATGAAAAACAACGATGTTATCATTTTATTTCCGTTAATTCTATATAGATTTTTCGATCTTTCCTATGGCAGCTATATAATAGAGTTATCCGATTTTGATAAAATTTAATCCGAAATTCGAAAGTATTTAATTAACACCATCTGGAAGAAATCAAGTCGATTTTTTTTTTTCAACCTCTCGTATGGGAGCTATCCGATATAGTTGGCCGATCCGGCCCGTTCCGACTTATATACTGCGTGCAACACACACCTTTGGGAAAGTTCCATCAAGATAGCTTTAAAACTGAGAGACTAGTTTACATAGAAACAGACAGACGGACCGACGGACAGACGGACCGACGGACAGACGTACATACATATTTCGATTCAGATCGTGATGCTCATCATGAATATATATACTTTATAGGGTCTGAGGTGCCTCCTTTACTGCGTTGCAAACTTCTGACTGAAATTATAATACCCTTTTGCTCTGCAAGGGTATAACAAGCAGGCTTACCAATAATAACGAACACGACAAAACCGAGTTTAACCATTTTGTATAAAGCATTGTGTTAGTTAAATTTATTTAAGACAAGTATTTTTATACCCTTGCAGAGCAAAGGGTATTATAATTTCAGTCAGAAGTTTGCAACGCAGTGAAGGAGACACCTCAGACCCCATAAAGTATATATATTCTTGATCAGCATCACGATCTGAATCGAAATCCGTCTGTACGTCTGTCCGTCTGTCCGTCTGTCCGTCGGTCCGTCTGTCCGTCTGTCTGTTTCTATGTAAACTAGTCTCTCAGTTTTGTAGCTATCGTGCTGAAACTTTCCGAAAAGTTGTGTAGTTATTGCACGCAGTATATAAGTCGGAACGAGCCGGATCGGCCGACTAAATCGGATAGCTCCCATACAAGAGGTCAAAAAAATAAAGGCAAAAAAATTATTACGCCGTTGTTTTTCATCGAATTGACTTGATTTCTTCTAGATGGCGTTTTCTAATTACTATTGAATTTTGGATTAAATTTGATCAAAATCGGATAACTCTATCATATAGCTGCCATAGGAAAGATAAAAAAATATATATAGAAAAAATGGCAAAATAATCATAACGTTGTTGTTTTTTATTCCACGAGCATGATTTTCACAACATCGACTTTATGAGCTACCCTTGAACCGAGAAAAAAATTTCATAAAAATCGGACAACTATATCATATAGCTGCCATATGAACAATAGTCGAAAATATGGAAAATTAATAGAAAAGTCGTCATAGCTTCGATGTTGTTGATGACTGCAAGGGTATATAAGCTTCGGCTTGCCGAAGTTAGCTTCCTTTCTTGTTTTTGTTTAATGTTGGTTCAAGTTATTGAAAAGTAAGTTAACTGTCTCAAAATTTATCGTTCGATGAATTCCAAATTATTTCTGGGGAGCGTAGATAGTCAAATGAATACTTTTAAAACTCTATTCATTTTCAATTTCAAGTTAAAATGGGTTTATACATTTATTAACGCCCTAAGACTTACCTTAAAAACCGCAATTCGGTGGGGGCATGCAACAGCCATTCAGAGGCACACTGGGGTTACACAGGAGAAGGCATGGAGAGTCACAGCACACGGCTTCGGGTGGATAGCAGCAGGGATTGGTGGGGGCGAGCCAGCTCGGAGGGCACTGACCAAACCAGGGACTGATTGGACACGGGTCAGAGCAACAGGAACAGGGGCAGGAGCAGGAACAGCTTGCTCCGAATCCTCCGCCAAGCGGCATGTCCTGGCACCTGCAGCCTCCGCCAAAAGTGGCGGGTTGGCATCCCAACCCTGCAGGGTCGAAGGTCTGGTTGCTCACGGGTACAAATGGCCTGTAGTCCGTCATGTAAACAGACTGGGACTGGAGCACATCGCTGAAGTTGGCTCCGCAGAAGCACGGATTGAGGGCGCAGGTTGGCATTGGCGGAGACCGTGGCTGTTGGACTGCCCGAAAGGAGTTGGCATCCACACAGTTGGGTGGGGGAAAGGCACTGAAGGGATCCGGGGAAGGAAAAGGCGGGGCACCGAAAGTGCTTTGGGGCAGTAACCAGGGTGCACATTGTTCGATGGATTCACTTTCCGATGCGTAAGAGTGGTCGCAACTGTTGTTGAAGGCAACACTGCCGTCACTAGAGGAAGTTCCACCTCCCTGAAAGACCTTGCGGATTACTGGATCTGGCATTTGGAATCCCCTGTCCTCTAAATTTGGTTCTTTCTCAGCTGCGTCTCTAGAGCTTCGAGTCTCACCCGTTCGAGTCTCTTCCTGTTGCCCAACGCAACTGCAATTTGAAAAAGTCAAACTATCTGCTTGATCCGGCAATCTTGCCTGCTCCGGTGGGTTGGGAGTCTGCGAACAGTAGCAATAGTCGATACCCAAATCGGAGGATGTCTGCATCTGAAGCTGGTCCGAGCAAGATGGGGATAAATAACCGGAGCAAATGGGGCATCGGAAGTTTTCGGAGTAAAATGCTTCATGGGTGTTTAGGGATTCATTTTGTGTTTCCGGTTCGGCAAAGGTCACCAAGTTCATTGGGTTACCGCAGATCGGAGCGCCTGGAAATAATAAAAAAAATAAAAAAAATTCAATATCCGAATGATTGTTGATCTATTGAAAGCATAACGTTACTTTTTTACATATCTTAATTATTTATAACTGAAGTCTGGAGATGAATCTATAACAATCCCAAACAATTAAGGAAGCTAGCTTCGGCTTCGATTGTATTAACGATGCAATACTATGTATATAGAAAATAAAGTTATAGTTAACATACCTTCCAAAGACAAGCTATTGACGGACAAGGAATTTCCACATCGATTGCACATTTGCCCTGAAGAAATGCGCTCTTGTGACCTATTGGAGTAATACAATTTCAAAAGAGTATACATAAATCAAGCTTAGTTTCCGCACTTTCCCAAGCTCTGGCTCCTGCAACCGTTTTCAAAACCCTGATATTTTCGAACACAGCTATTTTCCTTTGGGACATCTTTTTGTGGCGCGCACTTGAAAGTTGGTTGGGGTTTCGGTTTAAGGTCTTGAGTAATCCGTAAGGATGTTATTCTATCTTGATTGGGACAAAAAGCCAAACTGCAAGTTTGACCCTCACAATTGTTGGTGGTTTTGTTTTTGAGGATTGAAGTTGGTGATCGTTTCAGCGCATTACCCGGTGATTGGGGCAAATAAGGTTTTCGAATTGTGTCAAAACTGTTGATAGTCTTCATGGTGCTAAGGTAAACCTCGTTATTCTGACTTTTGTAGTCGCAAACGTTACAACACTCCATATTTATTTTTGCCTAACAACACACTTTACGGAACAAAAAAAAACCGGACAAAAACACACATTTTTTTTTATGACATTTTGAGGGTTAGTTGATTTATATTGGACTGTTTGCTTGTGTTCTGAAAGTTCAAATTTATTTTTTTAGGACTTATTCACGTAACTGTCAGTGGCAAAACCGGAAATTTAATAAATACATATATCCTAAAGTACCAGGCTTAGTGACGCAGTATTCTAACGGCCGGTAATATTATATTATTATTTGTATGGAGTAACAGCAGTTTTTTATCTATTAATTGAATCCAAGTTTTGTCGATTTGGATCTGATAGATGGATCAGATATATTTTTTCCCAAAACCGTTTTTCCAAACAATCAGTGGTTTTTTCAAATGCTCCTTTGCAAACTGAAATCTGGCATACAATTTTTTTTTTGCGGATTGTGCATAGCTTTGCATCCTCGCACATTTTTTTTATTTCATCGCCTTCTTGGAGTCCTCGAGTATAAACACCAGTGCCGGATTAGCCATATAGCAGGAGTAGCAAATGCTACGGGCCCCGCGCATTGGGGGGGGGGGGTGGCCCCGCGCTCCAACTCCTACCTATCTGATCGTAAAAAAAAAAAAAATTAGATAGGAACCTAAAAATAATTTGCATGACTTGCGTGAAGCGCTTAGGCTATGCTTTACTCCCATCTGAAAATATAAGACTCGATTTCGTCACGTTATATTTTATCTGAAATTAAACCACATTTCTACCCTTCAAGCGGCCAGATTTTCATTTTTATACCCTTGCAGAGCAAAGGGTTTTATAATTTCAGTCAGAACTTTGCAACGCAGTGAAGGAGACACCTCAGACCCCATAAAGTATATATATTCTTGATCTGGATCACGATCTGAATCGAAATCCGTCTGTACGTCTGTCCGTCTGTCCGTCGGTCCGTCGGTCCGTCGGTCCGTCTGTCCGTCTGTCCGTCGGTCCGTCGGTCCGTCGGTCCGTCTGTCCGTCTGTCCGTCTGTCTGTTTCTATGTAAACTAGTCTCTCAGTTTTGAAGCTATCTTGCTGAAACTTTCCGAAAAGTTGTGTAGTTATTGCTCGCAGTATATAAGTCTGAACGAGCCGGATCGGCCGACTATATCGGATAGCTCCCATACAAGAGGTCAAAAAAATAAAGGAAAAAAAATTATTACGCGTTGTTTTTCATCAAATTAACTTGATTTCTTCCAGATGGCGTTTTCTAATTACTATTGAATTTTGGATTAAATTTGATCAAAATCGGATAACTCTAACATATAGCTGCCATAGGAAAGATCAAAAAATATATATAGAAATAATGGCAAAATAATCATAACGTTGTTGTTTTTTATTCCACGAGCATAATTTTTACAACATCGACTTTATGAACTACCCTTGAACCGAGAAAAAAATTTCATAAAAATCGGACAACTATATCATATAGCTGCCATATGAACAATAGTCGAAAATATGGAAAATTAATAGAAAAGTCGTCATATCATAGCTTCGATGTTGTTTAACCTTTATGCATTTTGTTCGACATATTTGATGACTGCAAGGGTATATAAGCTTCGGCTTGCCGAAGCTAGCTTCCTTTCTTTTTAAACCTCGCTTATCTGCAAAGCAGGGTCCCCGAGAAAGAGAAACGGTCTCTTTGTCCAAATCTCCATCATTTCTATGCTCTATCGTTCACTTAACAATAGTAAAAAATTTGTTTGCAGCTGCCTTTTTCGGCTGCTGCCCCATGTGGCCTCCAAATGTTGCGTGTGCCCCAAGGGCTGTGCCCAGCCCCAACTATCTACACTTCAGGTTTCAGCAAACGGAATGTGAGCTATCGGAAGTCTGCTGTTCCAGTTCGCAAACAGTGAGTAGAATGCTATATACATACATATAATATATAATCTATGTACAGTAGAATCCGCTTATAGCGACTTTCAAGGGACCGACGATTTTTCGTCGTTATACCCGGAAGGCGCACTAAGCGGAAGGATTTAAGAGTATAAGTCTGTCTAGGGACCAATCAAGCCATGGAGTTTTCGTCGCAAAAACCGGACGGACACTATAAGCGGAGTCGTTATAACAGGATTCTACTGTATATCTATCTTCTATCTATCTTCTATCTATCTATCTTCTATATAAATAAAAGCAAGTTGTGTTAGTTACACCACTTATAACTCAAGAACGGCTGAACAGATTGGGCTGAAAATTGGTAGGGAGGTAGCTTAGAGCCAGGAAAAGGACATAGGATACTTTCTATCCCGTTCGACATACCAAAAATCGCATATAAAGCCAGTTATTTCCTCATCACACTGACAAACACACGCTACCATAGTATTTTAACTCAATTTTTGTGGTTTTGGTGAATTGAAGTGAAGAGAAGTTTTTTTTGTTTTGGTGATGGCTTCGTTTTATGTAGGGGAGGGTGGTCCCATACCGACCCCCTAAAAGGCAAAAGCGATAAAGGTGAGAAAAATCAATTTTTCAGTTCAGTTCAAAAATTTACTATGTAGAGGGATCAGTTTACTATACATCTAAATGATTAGTAAGTGCGTAGGTGCTTTGAAGCGTTAGATATTCAGGCAAATATAAAACTCTACTTTTTGGTCGTACTCAAAAGTAGTGGTCCGAAACCGACCCCCTATTTCTTAACAGAAAAATTTAATAACATAAAATAGAATTTAATGATTTTGACGTTTATTAAGAAATATATTGAAGGTTCTTTCCAGAAAATAAAAATTAATGTATGAAATAAAGGGCACTGTAGTCAATTGATGAAGTCTGAGTTGTCCTCTTTCTCATAGTAAGTTTTCGCCTTGAAAAAACCTTGTTTTTCGAAAGCCGCTCGTTGATGACTGTCTCTTCGCTTTCTTCTAATCTTTTTGCTGTTTCTGTTACTTTTCTTTACTGAATCTTGTTTACTTTTTCATATTTTCCCTCAAAAACACGCTATGACATATTAAGCTGCCAATAAATGGGGGTCGGTTTCGGACCATCACCTAGCGGTCGGTTTCGGACCACCACGACCTTTTCTGATTAACTGCTCGGCATTAACTTAAGACGCAAAGATCGATGTAATTCTAATTATGTGAGTGAAAGCTAGGACTATCAACGATCAGAAAAATGTACTCTCCGATTTTTATGCGGAGAAAAAAAAAATTTAAGCTCAAGTTCAGTAAAGCTCAAAAATAAATGTCACAGGCGTTGAAACAAAACAAACGGAAAAATTGCAGTGAAACAAAATAAGTCAAAGTGGCTATCTATCTCCAAAATGTCTGTGTTATAACAGCTTTTCACTGAAGTTACCGACAATTCGGCTAGCATCGCCATCTCTGAGAAACATGGGGGGGTCGGTATGGTACGACCGGTCGGTATGGGACCACCCTCCCCTAACATTTCGACAGCGTTTCCGTATAACGGGAAATCTTCTGTAAAAACTTCTGTACGTGTGTTAGTCATTAAACTCCTCCTAAACGGCTGGACCGATTTTGATCAAATTTACAATTGGATTTTATTCCATCCATTAAGCTTTACAATCAATAATTTATTCGAGTTGCCTTTCCTGAGTACGGCAAATAAATCAGAAACCTTTCGTTTAATACAAAAAATGCGCTTCTTTGGCTTGGTCCGAGTTTTGATCCTGTCAACCTTGTTTTGGCTTTTGACAATCGAGTTGCTGATATACTTCAACAGCACTGGCTTTGCAGATCTGGTCGAGTTCGTTCTCAAGCCTTATAGAGAGAAGGTAAGAACCTATGAAGTTGGCCTGAGAAGTCAGCGGTGGAACGATGATCGCATAGCAAAGCTTCTTCAAAAGCAAGTGCGCATTCACTGCTTGGTTTATATGGATCCTTCGGACTTCGAGTTGGGTCCCCAGAAGGCTGTTCATGTTAGAAACACTTGGGGACGTCGCTGCAATCACCTTACCATTGTAAACCAAAGAGACACTTCTCTGCTGAAGGCATATCTCCGGATTTACGAGGAGTTCCACGGTCAGTTCGACTGGCTTCTGGTGGTTTACCTGGACTCCTATGTCGTCATGGAGAACCTGCGCCGCCTGTTGGCTCATCACTCGCCAGCCGAAGAGATCTTCTTCGAGGCCCAGCATGACTTCTACATCTATGCCCACGTGGGTCAGGTTTCCACCACCGATTATATATTCAGCCGCGAGGCATTGGAGCAACTGGCCACCAGGAACTGCCTGCAGGATGAGATCTTCCTCAGGGAGTGCTTGAAAAGGATGAAAAGGGCTTCCAGCGAAGGACTTCAGTCCTTCAAGGTATCGGAAATGGTGATTCCCTTCACTTTGCGACTTAATTTCTGGCTGTGGCCCTGCGCATTCCAAGCTGTCTATAAAAACCAGGTGAGTTCCTAAAGGAAAGTATTATATATTTAATAAATTTAATTAATATTCTTTTAGAGCTGGGAAAGCTGTTTCCGTGGATCAATCTTGTACCCATATTGCCGTGACGTGCAAATGCATGTGCTGGAGTTTCTACTCTATCACCTCCGACCCTTTGGCCATGTGAATCCCCTGCCAGAACTCAGATCTCCCACTTTTCCCACAACAATAACCCACCGACCGTTAAGCGATCGAGTGGCCAGGTTTATGTTCCGATCGGTGAGGATAATCTGCTTGGTCTTAACCTGGCCCAAAAACTACATGAGTGGCGTGAGGGGAATCAGCCAAACGTGGGGAACCCACTGCAATCGAGTGGTGTTCTATGGGAGCTCCTCGCAAACCACTCCATCTGGAGTGGAGATTGTGGGCCTAAACATCAGCGACTCTCGCAGCAATCTTTGGGGCAAGACCAAGGCCGCTTTTGGCCATGCCTACAGGAATTATGGCCACGAGGCGGAGTGGTTCTTCAAGGCGGATGACGATACCTACGCCATAATGGAGAATATGCGGCAGTTGCTTCATTCCCATTCCCCTGAAACTCCGATTTACTTTGGCTCGGCATTCAAGTTGGCTTCCCGGGTTTACATGTCCGGTGGAGCTGGCTATGTGCTCAGCAAAAGGGCAGTGGAGCTGTTGGTCAAAGGAGCAGCTAAGAAGTGCCAACCAGGCAATCGAGGAACCGAAGACTTCGAGATGGGCAAGTGCCTACGCATACTGAAGGTCAAAGCCGGCGACTCCCGAGATCTTTACGGTCGACATCGCTTTTTTTCGCTTTCCCTGGAACACTTTTTAATTCCAAGTCGTGACGAAGAGGACTTTTGGCTGGGCAAATATCTCTCCCACTCGGCTGGAACGGTATTAACTTTGGTTGCTGTTGAGTAATTAAAATAATATGAAATCATCTTTACTTTCAGGGAATGGAGTGCTGCTCCACCTATTCGATTTCAATGCACAACGTCTCGCCCTACGAAATGCACTTTCTGGAAGCTATTTTGTATAAATCTCGACCTTTCGGAATAATCGCTGATCATCCTCCCTTGAAAGTTTCAAGAAAAAAGAGATTATGGAGAGAGCAGTATGGTTTATAGATCGATTTTAACAATTTTTATGTTTAATAATATACATGATTTAATTGATAATGTTTCTAAGAAAAATGGCATTACTCTTTGGCATTTTATATTGCAGTGAAAAGAACCGTAATAATTAATTAAAGCAAGATTACGTCTCGAACTTCGGCTTAGTTTCCACATTTGAGCTTGTGGCATTTTCTTCCGATCAATTTGAGCAGCAATCGTTGATGACCTACGGGAAATACAAGTAGTTTAGGACAGTGGCGGATCTAGGGGGGGGCGAAAGGGGCAAGTGCCCCGGGCGCCAAATCTAAGGGGCGCAAAATCGTATTTGAATTACACTGTAGGGTAAGATGGGGTAAAACCGCCATTTGGATTTTAAATTCAAATGAACCGCCGAAACGAGTAACCGTTGATAATGTCGATTCTGATCGATAATGCGCAGTTTTTGCAGTCGGTCGGAATACTGCAGCTTTGTTGTGACAATTTCTATTGCGCCATTTTTGTTTCACTTCTTGGCGCCAAAAAATTTTTGTTATAAAGATTGCTCAATCAAGTGTAAGTGAACGGCTGAAAAAAAAGGTAAGTGTCTGCTTATAGTACAAACCTTGATACTGATGTACATGTATCAAGTTAGCCAATATTTCCAAAATTGTACAAACTAAATCACCTCGAAAAAAAATGGCGCGTGGGGTAAAAACGCCGCGAAAAGGTGGGGTAAAAACGCCACACAATTTGATAAGGGAAAAACTCGTTTTAATCGAGAATGAATGTCTTTCAGCATCATGCCTCGCAATTACGCAAGAAAAAAAGCAAAAATTGATGAAAATATATTTCAACGGGCAATCGAGGAAGTTCAGGAGGGCAGCAAGGTGGCACTTGTTGCCGAAAAATATGGGATTCCCCGAGAGACTTTGCGAGACCGAGTCAACTAAGGGCCCAACGCTTATTATGGCCATCATCACCAGGTAAAGTGTCAAATATTCACAATTTTTGTCAATTGAAACAATATGTAAAGTCATAATTTTGAATTCAATTCAATTTAAAAATAACAGCATTTCTTTTTGAACAGATAATTGCAAACAGTTTTATATAAAATGATTTTATCTTTTAAATATGAATATTTTAATTTTCAGTTTCAAACCTTTGTTAATGCGACATTTCTTCTTAGTTTAAAACTATTTTAACCACGTAATTCTTATTTTACAGATTTTTACTGACGACCAAGAGGCATCGCTTGAGAAATATCTCATAAAAGCATCAGCTATGTTTCATGGTTTCTCTCGGACAGCAGTTCGACGACATCAAATGCAAAGGAAAATTCCGCAAAACTGGCATGGATCGAAGCATGGAGATGCAGGTATAGCTTCAAAAGACTGGCTTTATGGCTTCATGACTCATCATTCCGGGATATCTTTGCGCATACCGCAAGCAACAAGCCTCGGTCGAACCACTGCTTTCAACAAACACAACGTTAACATGTTCTTTTCCAATTTGAAAAGCGTAATTGAACGCTTCAAACTCCGACCCGAAAACATATGGAACATGGACGAAAGTGCTTTGACGACTGTGCAAAAACCTTTAGCAGTTGTTGCACAACGTGGTGTGAGGAATTTAGGTTCAATCACATCCGCTGAACGTGGTGTTTTAGTTACGCTTGCTCTCGCCATTTCTGCCGGAGGTGTCTGCATGCCACCTTTCTACGTATTTCCACGAAAGAAATTTAAGAATGACTTCCTTGCTGCTGACGGAGCAGCTAACCCATCAGGTTGGATGAAAGGGGAGCAATTTTTGAAATACCTGGCACATTTCAAAAGATACGCTCGCGCAACGCTAGACTCACCAGCTCTTTTGCTTTTAGACAACCACGAATCACACATGACCATCGCAGGCTTGGATTTTTGTAAGGAAAACGGAATTATTGTTCTGTCTCTCCCACCGCATACGAGCCACAAATTACAACCACTTGACAGAACTGTTTTTGGGCCTATCAAGAAATTTTTTAATGCAGCATGTGTCAACTGGATGCGATTACCAGAAAATGCTGCAAGAACTATTACAATGCACGATATCCCTGGCATCGCTCGGGAACCGATTCAGAAGGGCGCTTCGATTTCGAACATCCAATCTGGCTTTAGAGTCACCGGAATTTGTCCACTGAACGAAAACGTTTTCACCGAAATCGATTTTTTGCCGTCTCAAATCACTGATCGCTTAGAAAATTAGCCTGAACGCCCGAGGACCCCAAACGAGTCAGTCGAGGAACCGGAAGAGGACGACAGAGATATAAATGTTGACGGAGTTTTGGAAAAACTGCGTCCCTTCCAAAAGGCCGAACCTCGGAAGTCCACGAACCGCGGCCGAAAGCACCGAAAAACAGCGATTTTGACCGATGAAAATGAAATGGATTTGAATTTCTTATTTTTTTTTTATCCATTTGAATTGAATAAAAATTTTTCTCAGAAGTTATTGACATTATTTGGGTACTTAACTACACTGAAACCAGAATGGCGTTTTTACCCCACTAGGTGGGGTAAAACCGCCGTTTTAAACATTTCTTCTGAACGATCACAATTCTTTTAAAATAAAAGCTACATAAAAACTTTTCAAATGAATTATGTAGCCAAGGGATTAAACTTTCAGAAATATAGTTTGGTTCATTGATAATTTTATAAATGAAAGCTTGACATCGTCAAATATACATTTTTGGCGGTTTTACCCCATCTTACCCTATGTTTCGAAAAATCATGTTCATCTAACAAAATAAATATAACAAGAAGAAAGCTAGCTTCGCCTTATATGCTTATATGCCCAGTCATCAAATATGTCGATAAAAATGCATAAAGGCTAAACATCATCGAAGCTATGACGATTTTTCTATAAATTTTCCAAATTTTCGACTATTGTTTAATTCGTATTTCCAGAGTTGATAGAAAACTCTATATTCCAAAACCATTCTGATGAAAAACGACGAGGTCATAATTTAGTTTCCATAATTTCTATATAGATTTTTCGATCTTTCCTATGGCAGCTATATAACTACGTTGTCAGATTTTAATGAAATTTTCTACTCAATTCAAGGGTCATTAAAAAATCCATATTTTGCTCGTGGGATTAAAATCAACGACGTTATAATTTTTTTTCCATTATTATATATATTTTTTTGATCTATCTATATGATTATAGCACTTGGAAGTGAAAAGTGCGATTTTAGCTCAAAAAATCGCAGTTAATTTAAAATAGTAAAAAATTAAAAAAACTCTTCCTGATTACCTGTATATTTATGTGGAGCCTTTGTGTTAAAAATTTGAAAAGGATTGGTTCGGTAGATTTTGAGTTCTGATGTTTACCGAGTTTTAAAATAACGTTTTCGGGAAAATCGATACAAAGTATTTTTATACGTTAAAATACGTCCAAATTCGGTTGTTTAAAACGCTGTAACTCCGTTAGTTTGACTCTGACTAAATTGTTTACACAATATTCTCAACATATTGGTCTTTAGAAAATAAAACTTAAAAAAATATTTAAAAAAAATTTTTTTTTAATTTTAAAACTTTACCCTTAATAAACCTTTAAATACTCAAAATATTTTAAATGTTATTAATTTGAAAAACAATATTCTGTCCCGTTCGTAAGGCAGAGGGGGTAGGGGGGGCGCAAATTTTCCACTTTGCCCCGGGCGCCAGTAAACCTAGATACGCCACTGGTTTAGGATTCAAGAATAGTTGTGTAGAAATATAATATAGCAGTGGCTTGTACCACTGCGGAGGATCTTGATACCATTGAAGTGGAGAGAAGGGCAAGGGATCGCAAGTTCTCTATTATGAGATTAAGATTGTTGGAAAACGAAAGGTTTTTGCTGTATTTTTTGATATTAAACAAGAAAGGAAGCTAGCTTCGGCTTATATACCCTTGCAGTCATCAAATTTTTCGAACAAAATACATAAAAACTAAACAACATCAAAGCTATGACGAGTTTTCTATTAATTTTCCATATTTTCGATTATTGTTCATATGGCAAATATGGCATCCAAAGCTCAATAGTAGTTAGAAAACGCCAGAAATCAAGTCGATCTGATCAAAGATTAAGATTAAGCGATTCGCAAAGAATTTCCAAATTTAAGTCCTATTGAAACACTTCTCGATATATAGAATTTAAGTTTACACGATGGTAAGGATTCTGTTAGTTGGCTGGCTTTTTGTTAATCAAAATGTCATTTGCCTAATTAAAAATTCCAGTTTCGGGCATTTTGCAAATACAAAAAAGATTTTTGTGTGGGTCTGGTCTAGTCGGGGATTTATTTGGCTTTTTACTGATTTCTTAGAAATAACTTTAAAACTGCTCAAAAGTAATCAATAAAAGGGCTTTTCAAGAAACCGTATTCGAATTGAATAAACCTATTTCCATTTAAAGTTCCTATAAAGTTCTGAGGAACATATGGACCAGATAGATAGATCTTGATTTTTCGACATCCAAACAATCGTGTGGCATCTCGAACAAAATCTGAGTTGATCAATTTTTGAGCATACAGACCGAGCACTCTGATTAGCGGACAGCCTTCGAGGATCGTCAACAGTTGATGATTGGTAATTTCACTCGTATTCAGTTTCAGAATTTCCAAGTTCCTTAGTTTAAGCAGGCCACTCAAGGGAACACTCTGGCAGCCCAAGTAAAGTTCCCTTAGCGAGGAAATCTCGCAGATATGCTCCACCTGTTCGGCACGCAAGACGTCTCCCAACAAAATGAGGCTTTCCAGCGGAGTGTCTGTTTTGTGGATCAGTCCCTCGATGAAACCTGCCCTCAGGTTTTGGCCAGAGGGCCAAATTTGCAAGTGCTTCAATTTGGGCAACTGGCACACGATTTCGTAGGGCACATTTTCATCCATCAGTTTGTCTAAGAGTAAACTCTCCAGATTGCGACAGTTTCTCACAATTACCCTAAAGTTGTCCGCGGTGGGTGTTCCAACGAAACTATCAATGTCTAGGTGGCGGAGCTGTTTCATTTTCAGGCAGGCCTTGAAAAAATACTCGGCATTTATTCCTGGGAAAGCACGAATCACGAGTGATTCTAAATTCTCCAGCACATGCAGCCCATCTCCACTGTAGTTTGGTGCATCTAAGTTCAGTTTCCGGAGGCAGGGCAGTTGTACTAGCTTATGAACAAAATTCCTGTACGTCTTTGCCCTCGAGAATTGAAGATGGACGTGCAGGGATGTAAGGCTCTTCAACTGTAACAGATCATTCCATCTCGGCCGTACGATAGTCATTTTCAAGTGCTGCAATCGTGGACAAAAGGTCCGCAAAAGCCACAAGCTCCGCTCTCCATAGATTTCAGGTGGCTCATAGCTGAACACATCGAAATGAGGTGACTCATAGCTGATCACATTCTCATTAACGATTTCCAGCAATTGAGAGAGTTCGTTTTCGCTTATTTTCGCTGTGACGCTTTCTGTGATTTGCTTGTATTTCAGACTTAAAGTTTCGAAAAGTGATTTAAGATGCGGACTTGATGCAGCTAGACTCAGTTGGTCACCCACGCTCAAATATGATAAAACGCCTTTCCAACAGTAGGTGTTCAGTAAAAAGATTTCGGGTATTTTCGGAGCCAAAGATTCAGCTGCGTTTATCTCTTCATTTTTCTGGGAAATTGGTTCTAAAACCAAAGAGTTTTTGACTGTGATTTTTCGACGCTTTATTCCCGGAACATCTTCACAATCTTCTGACTCAATTTTTCTTGTCTCCGGCAAAGCCTTTTCCCCATCACTCGTTTGCTCCTTCTGTCCACCACTTTCAGAAGCTTTGCCGATTCTTCCGCTCATTTTAGTTAACCACGCGCCTCGGGATTCGCGAACGACTGACCAGATCGGCCCGTGGTACAATTCATGGTTCTCGTCGGCGAAAAGCACCCCTGTTAATCAACAAGTGCGAGTGAGAGCAGTCTGCGCAGTAAGTGCGGTCGAAACGAGAATAGAGATTTTGTGCATGGGGGTTGGAAAACGTTATATTCCAAAAATTATGCTTGTCTGATAAAAAACAACGTCGTTATAATTTTTTTCCAGTATTTATATATGTGTATGTATATATATTTTTCGGTTTTTTCTATGGCAGCTTTAATTCAACAGTAGTTAGAAAACGCCGTCTGGAAGAAATCAAGCCGATCTGATTAAAAACAATGGCATTCTCTCGTATGGGAGCTATCCGATATAGTCAGCCGATCCGGCCCGTTCCGCTTACATATATACTGCGTGCAATCACAACACAACTGAGAGTTAAGTTTAGTTTAAAGAGAAACGGACAGGCGTATTTCAATTCAGCTCGTGATGCTGATCAAGAATATAACCCATAAATTGGGTCTGAGGTGAGGTCCTTCACTGCGTGGGAGCAGTCTGCGTAGTAAGTGCTGTTGGGCATGGGGCTTACAAAACTCTATATTCCTAAAAATTTTGCTTGTCTGATGAAACACAACGGCTTTATAATTTTTTTCCATTATTTATATACCTACATATATTTTTTTTCGATCTTTCTTGGAGCTTGTAAGGCTCCAAAATAAGAACACTTAGTAAGTGTCACTTATTGAGTTTTGATAGGAAACTGAATTTTCTAAATATTCTAGGAATCTATGGCCTACGCGGAGGCCGCGTTTGCTATCAAAGCGGGAGAGTTATCTTTGACCCCCACACAGCAACCTTTTGTTGTGTCTACAAGTCTTACAGTGATAAGTACATATATTTTCCCTGCAGTTCTGGATGTCCACTGTGGACTTTTGGCAATTAAGCAATCGGGCGATACCGAGTTGAGCAGAAAGCCGATTACGGTAAAAAAAAAAATTCCGAGTTGAGCAGAAACGATTTTTGGACATAAAAAATGAACGTCCGAGTTGAGCAGAAACGATTTTTGCACATAAAAAATGAACGTCCGAGTTGAGCAGAAAACCGATTACGGTAAAAAAAAACAAAAACATCCTAGTTGCGCATGAACGCCTTTTCCACATAAAAAACCAATGTCAGAGATGCCACAAAATCATTATTAATTAAATAATTTAATTTTTCAAAAAAATGGTTCTTTTTTCAGTTTAGTTTTTTTTTTTTTTTGAAAAATTACTTAATAATTTTTCTCAAAAAAAAGGTGATTTTTTCAGTTTTTAGTTTAGTTTTTTTTTTAGAAAAATTACTTAATAATCATATATGATATATGATTATTAAGTAATAATTATTTGCAAATAAATGAATAATAAATATGTAATAATTATATGAATAAGTAATGATTTTGACGCATCTCTGACATTGATTTTGCCCAACTCGGGTGTTTTTTTTTTTACCGTTATCGGTCTTATGCTCAACTCGGACGTTCATTTTTTATGTTCAAAAATCGTTTCTGCTCAACTCGGATGTTCATTTTTTATGTCCAAAAATCGTTTCTGCTCAACTCGGATGTTCATTTTTTATGTCCAAAAAGAGTTTCTGCTCAACTCGGACAATTTTTTTCAATTTTCTGCTCAACTCGGCTAGCCCCAAGCAATCATTCTTTTAAGTAGTGCGTCGACGATTGGTTGTGAAATTACTTCACTTGTGCAACGGGCAACGGAAATGTTTAAAAATCATGTAAGTGTCGTTAATATTACAAAAACATTATGGTTTTTATTAGAAACTTATTTAAATCTTTTTAGGATTCAGCCATACATATGTCCGCTAAATTCGTTTGAAAGGCAAGTTTGCTTTAAATTAAAAAAAGTTACATATAATATGTAATAATAAAAATATTTTTGTACCATAGATGGATGCAAAACAGCCGATGTCCTGCAAATACTCCACAGAAATGGTAAACAAAATCTTTCGAATTTCATATTATTTATGTACTTATTTCTTATATTACAAAATATGATATGTTAATAAAATAAAAAAGAAATAAATATATATATATTTTGTTTTTCATATGAATTTGGGGATGACATTTTTAGGCTTGACATACATAGATGATTTCGCTAAGGACATCCTCGCCAAAGCCATCGATGAAAACTTCGCCTCCACGTCAGCTACGAAAGCAACGATGGTTTATACGAATTTTCTCCATACAAAATTCGTATAAGCCACCGACGACTCGTTCGATGAAACGGACAAAAAGTTCATCGAGAGCGACATGTATCCCGAAAACGGCGGTGCCATATATGTATAATGTCTCTATGAACTCGCGTCGCTGCGGCTACGGTTGCTACCCCCGCTGTCGTCGGTGCGGCTTCGCACACTTCATCGACGACAAAGCAATGAGCAAAGCAAAGAGCAAAGAGTATTATAATTTTGGCCAGAAGTTTGCAACGCAGTGAAGGAGACACACCTCAGACCCCATAAAGTATATATATTCTTGATCAGCATCACGATCTGAATCGAAAACCGTCTGTACGTCTGTCCGTCTGTCCGTTTCTGCCTAAACTAGTCTCTCAGTTTTAAAGCTATCTTGCTGAAACTTTCCCAAAAGGTGTGTAGTTATTGCACGCAGTATATAAGTCGGAACGAGCCGGATCGGCCGACTATATCGGATAGCTCTCATACGAGAGATTGAAAAAAAAAATCTCACTTCGTTGTTTTTGATCAGATCGACTTGATTTCTTCCAGATGGCGTTTTATAACTGCTATTAAATTCCCGTTTAAATTTTATCGAAATCGGATAACTCTATCATATAGCTGCCATAGGAGAGATCGAAAAATATATATAGAATTAATGGAAATTAATTGATAACGTCATTGTTTTTCATCACACGACTATGATTTTTTGAGTATCAAGTTTTTTAACTAGCCTTGATTTATAAAAAAAAATTTCATAAAAATCTGACAACTATATCATATAGCTGCCATAGGAAAGATCGAAAAATATATATAGAATTAACGGAAATAAAATGATAACATGATACCTTTGTGTATTTTGTTCGAAATATTTGCGGACTGCAAGTAGGGTGACCAGATAGCTGAAGTGGAAAATAAGGACGCTTTTCTCGCCTTTTCTCTTTTTCAAATATGTATGAAACTGTTGACAGGAATATTTTTTGAAATTGAATTGAACCAAGATTATACTTTTCAAGTTTTCGAAAACAAAATTGTTCCGTTCGTCGCTCCATTGAATATTAACAAGTGAAAAAACGCGTTCGCAATTTGCGTTGTGACAGGGATCGCAAAGAAATATTGAGCAATTTTGAGTATTTCAGAACATGATTCAAGACAACTGTTAGCAGAAAGAAAATCACAGACTTTTTCATTGCTACTTTTTTTTTTTGAAAAAATTATCTCTTGCTTCTTGTTCTTGCTTTTCTTTTTCATTCAAAAATTTTTCCAAATTAACAAACTGGTCGAACAGTTTTAAATCATCAACTTGAAAATTTTTGATTCGAGAAATGCAACAGATTTATCAACAGATTCATACCTCAACTCTTTTCCTGGCTTGATATTTAACCATTCGAAGTCTTCCAAATGACGCAATGACTGGCTCCATTTCAGCAAATAATCACAAGATCTTTCGTACACTACAAGCATGGATTCTGTGAAGTTTTGACACTCAGTTTCTTTACCTTCATTTGTCAGCTTTTGCAATTTCTGCTTGACTGCGAATGGTATAAGTTTCGAATTGAGTCTTTCAGTCAAAGTCTCCGATACATCGTCAATGATTTGCAAAACTTTTAGAACAGAATTGTCTTCGCAGTCGATGCTTTTAATTCTATTGTGAAAAACATTCATAAGTGAACTTATAAACAGCAATTGCAATTCCGCAAAATCATCTTTGAAAAACCTCTCCAAAAATAATTGGCGGATGGTCAGTGGATAAAAAAAATGATTTCAGAGCTGGAAAAATTTGTAAAATTCGATCAACGCTTGGCATGAGGGTTAGCCATCGTGTTTTGCTGTGAGATATCAGTTTCCTGTACTCCAACCTGTTTTTTCGTCAAAAACGCGAAAAATACGGACATTTTGCAAAAAATACGGACCAACGGACACTGAGCTGAAAATACGGACATGTCCGTATTAATCCGGACGCCTGGTCACCCTAACTGCAAGGGTATATAAGCTTCGGCTTGCCGAAGCTAGCTTCCTTTCTTATTCGAGCTGATTTAAGAATCCCATCAGTCATGGGATTTCAGACTCAACTTTTTATCCTCTCTTAATGACAACAAGAATTGCCAGTTAATTTTAAACAGAAAAAAAAACGAGACCGCTGTTGTCAAAAACTAAAAGTTTGAAGAGTGTGCTAAACTGGTGTTCAGCCTGATTTTGAGGTATTTAGGTTCAGAGGCTTGGTAATGGAAAACGGTAAAAGCAAATGGGACAAAATTAACGGTGCATGTTCTCCTATTAATAGAACAAACGTACATAAAAAAATTCAGCGAAAAATCTCCGGGGAAAGGTGAAATTGGAGTTCAAAAATGGGGATTGCATAGTGTGCTAAACTAGTGGCCACCACTGTATGTACATAGGTGCTACAGAGCAGTGTATAAATGGTTTTGAAAACTCGGTTACCCAACTCGGAGATTTGATTCCAACAATTTATTACACACATAAAATATCCAACATTTTTGAGTAAGCATATTTTAATGACCCAATACATTTATTTTATAATTTTCAAACATAAAAAAACAACTCCAAACCATATTTTCCATTTTTAAATAGAGTTGCAACCTATGTCTGTTCCATATACGCATATTTTGGCATCAGTTTGTAATTGCAGAGCAGCTGTTTTGTATTAAGTGGCATCTCTGCACTGTTTATGATTCGCGTCAATGGTGTAAATAAACGAAAAAGCCGCCAACATGAGGTCAAATTCAATTGTTTACCATTTTATTTTCGTTTTAATTTATATTTTGATTAGGGGAAAATATCGATTCGCTCAGCTGCTTAGGTCGCGAACGGGCCCCCTTACAACATACCGACAACTGGCGGGAGCGGGTTTTTTAAAGTTAGGTGTACAGCGTGTATTTAAACAGTAACGGTGTGAAAGGGGCAAGCGCCCCAGGCGCCAAATTTAAGGGGCGCAAAATCGAAGTGGCGGTTTGCGTAGGGCAAATCTGCAGTGCAAGCCAAAACAACTACAGTCGACTCTCGTTAATTCGAAACTCGAGGGACTCTTGAAATATTTCGAATTATCGAGTGTTTGAAATATCAAATGGTTCTAAATTTGTGAGAGAAAATAAATAAAACTTCGAATTATTAGGTGTTTCTTAATTTTTATTTATTAATATAAAAATGATAAGAATTAAGAGGTACATTCGTGTACGTACATACATGTATTCGTAATGTGAATTAATTAATCTTTCGAAAGAACTTTTTTATACTGGTACAATTCTGCTGCTCACACTGCTCAATAACTTTTTTTAAGAGAAAAAGTGCCTGAAATGCTTTTTCATCACTTTCGTTTTGTTGACATATGTAAGCTTTATAAGGTATCAAATGAGGATCTTGCTTCCTTAACTGACACCTCTGCCAAAGGTTCTTTATACTTTCTAGGGCTCATAGCTAACACAAACTTTTAATATGCATACCAACGAAAGAGTAACAGCAACTGAATAAGTACACAAACCAATTCGAAATAAGTGTGTGCGTCAAATGGTCAAACTAAATAATCAAAACAAAAACAAAGGCAAGTTTGAACTTGTCCCAAAATTTCCGACTTTTTTCTCTGCAACTTTGAATTGTCGAGTGTTAGACGCTGATGACTTCGAATTAACGCGTGGTTTTGTTAAATATCAATGATTTTTTCGTTCGAATTACCAAGTGTATGAAAATGTATTGATTTAATTCGAAATATAAAGAAATTTCGTAGGGACCTCGTGATAACTTTGAATTATAGAGAGGTTCGAATTATCGCAGGTTTGAATTAACGAGAGTCGACTGTATGTATAACTCTGTAAAATCACATTTTTATCGAGGTAAAGATTTTTTGCGGTATTTTGTCATGGTATCATTTGCAAAAAATCATTTTCTTCTTCTATAAATTATAGGGAAGGAAAACACCGAAAGGAAAAGAATATAACCAAGTCGCGCCCAGTTTAAAAAAATTCGGGCAAAAAAACAATTCACCGAAAATTTGTCAACGAGCTTACAAGCGCTATTGAAAATAGGGTATAGTTAAAAGGTGGCGCATTTATGAAATAGGCAGTAATTTGATAAAAAAAAAATGATTTTTCATTCAGGAAGTATCTCCATCAGAGCAAATTCCAGAAAAAGACAACGTGGACAAATTTTCAGCTATGCTCCGGGATCCAGTAAACCTAGATCCGCCACTGCGTGGCAGAGGTAAATGAAGGAGCAGCGGCGCCATAACAGAGGTATTGAACAAATATTAAAAAAAATTAATGAAAATAACAAAAAAAAAAAAGGATTTATAAACGAGTACATATAAAATTTGTTGTCTAACGTACATACAGTGGCTCACAGCTTAAAGTATGCAGTGCATACTTTTAACTTTAAACGCCCATAGCGGTAAAACTATAAGGAATATTGGAATAAACAAGGTGCCAAATGAAAGATTAACTTATTTAGAATAACGTTACAAAATCATTTATTTTCAAAAACGGCTTAAACACAAAAAAAAACTTTAAAAATGAAAAATACAGCTTATATTCAGCTCACAGCTTATTTTATGCAGTCTCAAAAATGTTCAAAAAATAAGGAAAAAACTCAAAAATATAACGTTTTTAATATTTGGTATGGTAACCATTGTTGTCAACGACATCTTTCAGCCTTTTCGGCATTGATTCAACCAATTTTTGGGTGACTTCTGACGAGATCTTTCCCCACTCCTTCATTAGGGCATCTTTTAAATCATTTTTGTTAAAAATATGGTAATTTCTAATATTATTATCCAAAATGGCCCATAAATTTTCAATAACGTTGAGGTCCGGTGACTGAGCCGGCGTATCCACAACGTGAGGGCAATTGTACAGCAACCACATCCGCACAATTCCAGCCTTGTGCTTTGGATCATTATCCTGATAAAAGCGGAAATTGTCTTTTATTCCAAGATCCTCGGCACTTTGGACCAAATTGTCCTTTAATATTTGAAGGTATGCTTTTTTATCCATTGTCGATTCAATAAAAGTCAGTTTTCCAGGGCCAGGAGCTGACATACAGGCCCAAACCATCACGCTGCCACCGCCGTGCTTTACCGTTGCCTTCAGGTTCTTTGGTTCAAGCTCTGTATTGGGCTTCCGCCATACATAAGCGTTACCGTCTGATCCAAATATATTCAATTTGGATTCGTCTGCAAATATCACTCTTTTCCAGAAGTCGGGGGTCGGCGGAAGCCCAATACAGAGCTTGAACCAAAGAACCTGAAGGCAACGGTAAAGCACGGCGGTGGCAGCGTGATGGTTTGGGCCTGTATGTCAGCTCCTGGCCCTGGAAAACTGACTTTTATTGAATCGACAATGGATAAAAAAGCATACCTTCAAATATTAAAGGACAATTTGGTCCAAAGTGCCGAGGATCTTGGAATAAAAGACAATTTCCGCTTTTATCAGGATAATGATCCAAAGCACAAGGCTGGAATTGTGCGGATGTGGTTGCTGTACAATTGCCCTCACGTTGTGGATACGCCGGCTCAGTCACCGGACCTCAACGTTATTGAAAATTTATGGGCCATTTTGGATAATAATATTAGAAATTACCATATTTTTAACAAAAATGATTTAAAAGATGCCCTAATGAAGGAGTGGGGAAAGATCTCGTCAGAAGTCACCCAAAAATTGGTTGAATCAATGCCGAAAAGGCTGAAAGATGTCGTTGACAACAATGGTTACCATACCAAATATTAAAAACGTTATATTTTTGAGTTTTTTCCTTATTTTTTGAACATTTTTGAGACTGCATAAAATAAGCTGTGAGCTGAATATAAGCTGTATTTTTCATTTTTAAAGTTTTTTTTGTGTTTAAGCCGTTTTTGAAAATAAATGATTTTGTTACGTTATTCTAAATAAGTTAATCTTTCATTTGGCACCTTGTTTATTCCAATATTCCTTATAGTTTTACCGCTATGGGCGTTTAAAGTTAAAAGTATGCACTGCATACTTTAAGCTGTGAGCCACTGTATGTAGCTACTTGAATTTAATCGCGAACTCTGTTTCACAGCATACATAATTTTAGAGACTTTAACTGGTTGACATAGAGGGCATCTGAAGCGACTTTGGATTTCGCCACATGACCACTGGAAAGTGTTTAAATTATAAATATGAAAAAAAAAAAAATAATTACTAAATTTTTATTAGTTATCGCCAACTCCAGGTGCGACTTATGCATGTAGTTATGTAGTTCAGCGTCACCAACCGGCTGAAGTTGCCGATGGGTTATGCCCAGCTATAATCGGCTAATCGTGGTTGGCTATATTGTGGCAAACCGCTTGAGCGTGAAGCCTCCTTTCACTGGGTGGTTTTTGAAGATGCTCGAAGGCGTACCCGTGTCGTCGTAGCGGAAAGTTGCAACTTACTTACTCCCAGCGAACCAAGATCAATCCAAATAGCCAGATCGGGCGCGAACAGCTCAAAAGGAGGCGCTCTCAAAACTTCGATAAAGCCTCTTCCACTACACCACTGCAATAGATTTTTTTTTTTGTTGTTGGCGGGACGACAACCACGAGATAATTAAGCTCTTTAATTGTTCTTTCGTTTTCTAAACATAAAAGTAATTCACCATCTATTAATTTGTTATACTCCGATTACAATTTAAAAATTCAGAAATTGTCTAAAAAAAATTGGCGATTTGAATTATAACTCAGTTGGAATTATTTGGTCTCTAGAATTTTAACAAGACAATTTTCTTATACATAAGTAGGCGCAAAGAAAAATAAAAAAAAAAAGAAAATAAAAAATAAAACAAGCTCATGGCAAAACATATGTATACAAAATTTGATAGTTTATAAAAATTGTATCCCGAAATGCCGTTTTTTTGCGAAATACACATTTCATTAGGCCCCGTAAATTGAGAATACCGTCCAGAATGGGACACAAATAAAGGTGAGCTTGGTTACATTGTAATAGTAGTTAGCTTTTAATTTTTTATTCTGTTTTTTCATTTTTCAGTTGTTTCTAAACGTGAGAACAAGCCGGCGAAAGTTATACTTTGTTGAGTTCCATAGCCAGCTGTTTGTCGTCAAGCGCATCTTTGTATGTCGAGTGTGTTTTGCTGAGTGGTGTGGTTACATATGTTTTAGATGTAAGTTCTGCGAAGAGGAGGGCTCTCTTAGGCAGAGTTGTGGATGTTTAAACGGAAGATGTCGTGCGCCACAAAGAAGGTGCCGGCGTTGGCCTTTAGGACGAAGATCTGCGAGTAGGCATGTGGGGGATCATCATCGCACTGTAGTCTTCCGAGGACATTAATTAGAACTCCGCCATCGAATGTGGGCTGCGAGTCAACTGTGGTTATCACACGTGTAATTTTTTGAAAACTTAAGCTCTGAACTTTTTCCAGAATTTTTGGTGCGCCCTGGATTTGGTGGCCTTCAAAGGTCATGAAGGAGTCGGTTGCGCTGTAGAAGTTAACCACGTTTGCTCGATTCGCCGGGTCATCAAATATCGCATAGTACTGCTGCACAAATCCCTTTCCAATGTCCTCGTATTGTGGATTCAGCGACATCTTTCTTTTGGCGGTCTAAGTCTTTAAAAAAAATCGCGATATTTATAAAAAAAACTAAAATAAAAAACTAAATTTTGCTAAAGATGACTCAGTGAGACCAAAGGTGAGGTTAGTAAAAAAGGCAGACGGTTAATGTTCTTTCGCATAATTTCCTTGAGATTTACTTTCTGATGTGGTGTATGAATACGGTTTATTGTAAAAGGATTCTAGAATGTTAATTTGTTATCCTCTTTTTGAGCATTATATTAATAGTTAACCAGGCTTACCCATTCACTTCTAAACGGCTTGTGAGAATGCCTCTTAGTGGTCAAGTAGTGGCGAGCAAAAACGCATTCTCGTGTATGTCAATTTCAAGACAAATAGCGACGGGCACACTGTAAAATAAACCGTGCTGCCTAACAGCAGGTAATTTTCAAGCCAACAAAATTTCATAAGATGAATGGGAGATTGATATCAAGTGCCATCCGAGTCCTCCGGTTGAGCCACAGTAGCCAGGGGAAATTTCCTACCGCCGGAATCGCAGTGCGCCGTCAATACGGTAAGTAATGATCAAAACGCGCGCCCTGCCATGGGATTTCATAACAAGCCGGTGTTGTCTAAGCCAGCCACTCCACCAAAGCGGTTTTACAAGAAGACCTCCGTGCTGAGCGGCGACGGAGGCTACGAGGTGGTGCTGGACCATCGAAAACTGAAGACACCTAAGGGCATTCCCTTTGTCGTGCGCAGTGAACCACTGGCCATCGCGGTGGCCACTGAGTTCGATGCCCAAAAGGAACACATCGAGCGGTCACGCATGCACCTTTCTGCCCTCTGCTTTACGGCCATCGACAATCCGAATCACCTCAGCAAGCTGGACATGGTTAACTACCTACTTAACTTCATCGGCACCGACACGGTGCTTTTTCAGTACGACGTAGGTGACTTTTACTTTATATTGGACTATGGTCTGCTGATATGTATACGTTGTAGGACGAGAAGGACCTGCAGGATCTGCAGCTGAACGAGTGGGACCCGGTTATCGCCTGGTTCAATCAGCGCTTCGACACGAACCTTCAGAAGACCCTGAACATCACACCACCACAGGTCAGCGAGCAGGATAAGATGAAGGTGGCCAAGCACTTTCAGTCGTTTAACCTGGAAACGCTGCACGGTAACTAAGTCCAATATAGGTTTGAATCTTTTATAAATATCCATTCCCTTAGGCTATATCTTCGCTGTGGACACTTTAAAGTCGATTGTCCTGGCCTGCGCTGTCATCGAGCAAATGCTGACTGTAGAGAAGGCAGTGGCACTGGCTCGTCTGGAGGAGGAGTACCAACTCAAATTCTGGGGTCGCGTTGAGTGGGCCCATGATCTTAGCCAACAGGAACTGCAATCACGGCTAGCGGCTGCCGTACTTTTTGTGCACCTCAACTGTTCGGAAAACTTTGTTAAGGAAAAATTAATTCTTTAAAAAATGTTGGAAAGAACTTTTTAATTTGTTAAGGTATAATAAAACTTAGCTAAAAAAAATATAGATTGATATACATTACAGTAAACTATTTGCATGTAAATGTAATACCCAGTTTCATATTAGGTCTTAAATTGCAATCGGGAAAGTTATTAATTATTTGAATACTATGCTAAGGGTGATCTCGTACGTTTATAACAATTTTGTGTTTAAAAGAAAGTTCACACCACTTCACGACATTGCAAATTGCAATCCTGCTTTACGTTTTTAATGGTTGTGAAAAATTCTTATAGAAGTATGTTAGTTAGGCTTATGGATTATTTTTAAGTTTCCTGTTTACTTTAATTAATAATTTGTTTCGCCTTGTTTAGTTTGTGGAGATATTTTCATACAAATATGCATTTAAACTTTATAATTTTTTTTAATTATTTCGAAAAACGACTTAATAATAATTTATTTATATGTATACCATATCTAGTTCCACCAATAGGTGCTATTGGAGCAAGGGCAATTCAAAAATGACAGAAAGTTAAAGCAATGCGGAATTGTGTCTAAACATAACATACTAAGGGCATGTTTACGGTGAAGTTATGGGTTAACTCGATTTATTTTCGTACAAAGGTCTTAAGAGTGGAGTCGTTAAGAAGACTCCAGTATTATCCTATTTTTTGACCATCGTTGATGTTTCCTCACTAAAGTTAAAAAAGTACAGAACTTTTATAAATGAATTAGTTTAAATCGAAGAATCGCTGTTCCGTATTAAAATTAAAACAATAAACTACCTTTAATAGTAATTAAATTGGGTTACCGGCTTACTCTGTAGATAACCCGATATAGTGTAAACAGGCTATAATAAATTGTTATTATGGCTTACCACCATTTGTTGTTTGGTATTTTTTCAAATTGCTACGAGGTCACACAATTTTGATGTGGTCACACTGGTTCTGTCGTGGGTGGCGCATCATCGCGTTCTGATGCAAATTGAACAAGTGCAAAAAGTAGTAATTTCTCCAATTAATCTTAGCAAACAGTGACCAGCAAGTTAATTTTGCAGCGACAAAAGCAAACGAATCAAATCGTTGCTATTTGGGCTGCCTTTGGTAAGAGCGTCGTTCGAGTGCGTGTTTTGTGTTGCTGTGTGCTGGTGTGCGTTTGCTTTTTCATCAGAAAAATGTAAAAAAAAGTGTTGCAAAGCAATCGGGCATAAGATTTATGTAGTCGCGTTGTTTGTACCGAAATTAGCCAAATGCGAATCGCGGCGTTGAAAAAAGAATCTGTTTCATCGTGCGGGGGGTGTGCATATATCCCTTCCTCCTCCCTTCGATCTTCCGTTCTTGGCAAAGTGGAAGTGGAAAAACCAGCGACTACATCAACAAAAGCGTGTGTCGGAAATCTCGCAACCGCATCTCGTTACACTCTTAGTTGCTAAGCTGGGTTTTAATTATTGTAAACCCCACCAGGCAGGACAGCAACAAATGCGCAGAAATAATATTTTTCAAAACACGAACAACTACAATCACGACGTACGACGCCCTTTGGGAACAGTTGTGTTGGTGTGCGGCTGTTGTTATTGTATGGGTGCTGCCACCTTGTTCGATTTCGTGTTTTTTTTTTTTGTTTTATCACATCGAAGTTTTAATTTTCGAACACTCATTGTTGTTGCCTCTGCTTTTGTCTGTAACAAGTGCAAACGGTGTTTTTAAATTTGATTTCCGATTGTCTCTTTGTCGTATAATCAGCTGCTTGCAACGTATTCAACGTATGTAGCCGCCTGCAAAACGGAAACTCGCTTTACCTATTGTGTGTGGATTTTTTAATCAAAGGTAAGTCTGATTTAGATAAGTACCCCATCAAACTGTAGACGGACTACATGTTAATTAATAGCATATATATATCACATAAAATGAATATTTGAATTTCTATTTGTGTGTAAGTTGTACAATACACGATTGAGTCATATTCGGTCGTTTTGATATGTTTTAATCATTTTCACAAACAAAGAGCGTACTGGTTACAGATTTGGAAATATTTAAACACTACTTTAAACTATGTATATCGCTTTTGAAGCTAGCTTTGGCATCTAAAATTTATGGAACTAGTCTAAATTGGATTATTGTAATACAGATCCAGTTATCGTTTAATTTGTATATCCTTGCAGACGGTATAGAAACAATTTTACGAAAAAACGTTTGAAACAAGTGCTTAAATAATTTATTATTATAATAATATAATATATATTTTTAAACGAGTTTATACCTCTTTTGACTAAGTTTGCATTTCATCTTTACTCTTATGAGTACATATTTACAAGTTGAAAAAAACAACAATTTGTAAACGCGCTAAACGCCATTTAAACCGAAATCTTATCAAATAAAAAAATTGTAAAGATAGCTAGTTCTCCCTATCACATTGAACATCAAAAACAAAATTCCAAACAGACACCTAATCCCCGTGCTACACTGTGGAAAATGTTAATTTAACTAGTTGTCTAAAATGTAGCAGAGAATGGGGAAATTTCAAAAAGGCTTTGGTAGTCTGGACGCCTCGCTACAGGCCTTGGGTGGGCAATGGAGCTTCAGATAGGCAATTCAATTTACCCGGGGGTGGAATTTCAATTTCGCAGCCGAAACGGTTGTCGAGTGCGAAAAATGTTTGCGATAATCAAATCAAATCAGTGCCAATGAGGTTAAGCAGGGGAGGGCAACCCTGAATTGCTCGGTCAGAAAAGACTTCGTCTGCTCCTATAATGAGGATGCATTCAATTTAATTCAAATTTTTCACTTGCATCTGGCCGCATAACGTAAAGTTCTATGAGTTAATCGTTCTGTATATTGCTTAGAAATCCTAGGCAGAGAAAAGCTAAAGGATTTGTATTGGTCCCTATACCAACTGTATTATATAGATTTTAAAAAAGGTTGTTCTTTATAATGATTCCATACTGCTTATTGAATAAGAAAGCGTAGACAAAGAACAAATAATGTTTTTCATTTATACGGAAACCAATTATTTAAAGACTTTAAACAAGAATGTTCTACACAATCGCGTAATTAGCAAAGGATACCTAAAAAACATCTGTAAAAATATTTTTGTATATTATCTATGTTTTTTTAAGTAAGGGGATTTTAAGCAATAAGAACAAGAAAGGAAGCTAGCTTCGGCAAGCCGAAGCTTATATACCCTTGCAGTCATCAAATATGTCGAACAAAATGCATAAAGCTTAAACAACATCGAAGCTAAGACGATTTTTCTATTCATTTTCCATATTTTCGACTATAGATCATATGGGAGCTATATGATATAGTTGTCCGATTTTGATCAAATTTAATTCGTAACTCAAGAGTCGTAAGAAAACTCTATATACCAAAAATCATACTTGTCTGATGAAAAACAACGATGTTATCATTTTTATACCCTTGCATAGCAAAAGGGTATTATAATTTCAGTCAGAAGTTTGCAACGCAATGAAGGAGACACCTCAGACCCCATAAAGTATATATATTCTTGATCAGCATCACCATCTGAATCGAAATATGTATGTACGTCTGTCCGTCTGTCCGTCTGTCCATCTGTCCGTCTGTCCGTTTCCGCGCAAACTAGTCTCTCAGTTTTAAAGCTATCTTGCTGAAACTTTCCCAAAAGGTGTGTAGTTATTGCACGCAGTATATAAGTCGGAACGGGCCGGATCGGCCGACTATATCGGATAGCTCCTATACGAGAGAATGAAATAACAAATTCTCACGCCGTTGTTTTTGATCAGATAGACTTGAATTCTTCAAGATGGCGTTTTCTAACTGTTATTGAATTTCGGATTAAATTTGAACAAAATCGGATAACTGCATCATATAGCTGTCATAGGAGAGATCGAAAAATATATATAGAATTAATGGAAATAAATTGATTGCATCGTTGTTTTTTATCCCACGAGCATGATTTTTTGAGTATCAAGTTTTTTAACTAGCCTTGATTTATAAAAAAATTTTTATAAAAATCGGACAACTATATCATATAGCTGCCATAGGAAAGATCGAAAAATCTATATAGAATTAACGGAAATAAAATGATAACATCGTTATTTCTCATCAGAAAATCAAGATTTTTGGAATATAAAGTTTTCTAACGACTCTTGAATAACAAATAAAATTTCATCAAAATCGGACAACTATATCATATAGCGGCGATATGAACAATGGTCAAAAATATGGAAAACTAATAGAAAAGTCGTCGTAGCTTCGATGTTGTTTAGCCTTTGTGTATTCTGTTCGAAATATTTGATGACTGCAAGGGTATATAAGCTTCCTTTCTTGTTTTTATAAACAAATCTATATAGTTTTTTCGATCTTTCCTATGGCAGCTATAAGATATAGTTGTCCGATTTTTATGAAACTTTTTTCTCACTATAAGGGTTGTTAAAAAACTTGATGTTCAAAAAATCAAGCTCGTGGGATAGAAAACAACGATGCTATCAATTTATTTCCATTAATTCTATATATATTTTTCGATCTCTGCAATGGCAGCTATATGATAGAGTTATCCGATTTTCTTCAAATTTAATCCGAAATTCAATAACAGTTAGAAAACGCCATCTTGAAGAATTCAAGTCGATCTGATCAAAAACATCAGAGTGAGAATTTTTTATTTCATTCTCTTGTATTGGAGCTATCCGATATAGTCGGCCGATCCGGCCCGTTCCGACTTATATACTGCGTGCAACAACTACACAACTTTTGGGAAAGTTTCAGCACGATAGCTTTAAAACTGAGAGACTAGTTTGCGCGGAAACGGACAGACGGACAGATGGACAGACGGACAGACGTAAAGACGGATTTCGATTGTGCTCGTGATGCTGATCAAGAATATATATACTTTATGGGGTCTGAGGTGTCTCCTTCATTGCGTTGCAAACTTCTGACTGAAATTATAATACCCTTTTGCTCTGCAAGGGTATAAAAATGCAATTTTCTCGGCATGTTTGAGAAAAAATGAGACTTATGGAAGGAGAGAGATGCACGCCAGAGCTTGCTGAACCTGTCTGGCAACATTTGGCAATTTGGATGTCGCTAAGAAGATGTAAAGACCAAATACTGTTTAAATGTGCCACAGTTTATAAGAATTCGTTTAAATATTTTTTAAATATTATGTTAAAAGCCCTTTTAAATGCATTGTCCTAATGCAAACCTATCAAGGGCTTACTAATTTGCTAACTGGGTTCAGTTGCACTCAAAAAAGTTGTTTACTGATTTTTAAGTGTATATTAACCGTTTATAAGAAGACTTTTTCTATATTTTTTATGTTTTTTATTTTTTATTCGTTAAAATAATTTTGCCATTTGTTAAAATTACGTATTTTAAATCAACTTTAAATTCATAGCAAAAAACTTCTACTTTGCCTCTTTGTAACTGAGCAATTCAAGTTCAAAGCTCTTTTTTGACAGTCGCTGAAGGAAACTTGAAAAACATAAATTAAATACAAAGAGAAAAAGAGAATATACATACAATAGAGATCCAAGACTATAGCTTGCATGAGATCTGCTTTCATTTTTTTTTTTTTTTTTTTTGCTTTATACATGTACAGAAAACAGTAATGGACTATTGCTTGTGAATTCTTTATATAAAGCAAAGTAATAAAGAAATGTGGGACGACTCGTATTTATTGTTATTTCTATTGAACACAGAAATCATTTTTTATTTTCGAATAATACTCTTTTTCTGGTAAATATTTGATTTCCCTAGCGTCATAGAGTTTTTGTTACCAAAAAATATCGGTTCTCATGATTGATTTTGTGGCGATTCAGTGACCCTTGCCATCATCATCCTCATTATGAACCCGCTTTAGCGCAACGTAGACTATCTTTGGCTAGCATGTTGAAAGTGCTTTCGACTTTTGCCTAAATGCTACATTTTCTGCTTTTGGTTTGCATTGCCTTAAAGGAAAAACAAGTCACTTGGCATTTCCTTGCTATTACTGAGGACGCCATACCGCCCCAAAAGCCTCACTAAAACTACAACAACCAAAGCACATCAGGTTATTGATTTTTTCAACTTCGTGTTTTTAAAACACTGCTTTAGTTCAGCTTGTTTGGCTAGCATGCGACGTCCAAGCGTTGAATGAGCCTTTCCACTCCATAGTTGAACAGGATGGAGGAAGATTATCACGCCTCTTTGATTTGAAGGATTTCTAGTTCTTCGTGGACAGGACATTTTGGAAGATTAAAAAGTTTTGGCAGTGTGAAAATCGTTTTTAGGTCAACATTGCTTCTCAGTGCCCTTTTTTTGTACCCTTGCAGAGCAAAGGGTATTATAATTTTGGCCAGAAGTTTGCAACGCAGTGAAGGAGACACCTCAGACCCCATAAAGTATATATATTCTTGATCAGCATCACGAGTAGAATCGGAATACGTCTGTACGTCTGTCCGTCTGTCCGTTTCTGCCTAAACTAGTCTCTCAGTTTTAAAGCTATTTCGCTGAAACTTTCCCAAAATGTGTGTAGTTATTGCAAGCAGTATATAAGTCGGAACGGGCCGGATCGGCCGACTATATCGGATAGCTCCCATACGAGAGAATAAAATAAAAAATTCTTACTCCGTTGTTTTTGATCAGATCGACTTGAATTCTTCAAGATGGCGTTTTCTAACTGTTATTGAATTTCGGATTAAATTTGATCAAAATCGGATAACTCTATCATATAGCTGCCATAAGAGAGATCGAAAATTATATATAGAATTAATGGAAATAAATTGATAACATCGTTGTTTTTTATCCCACGAGCATGATTTTTTGAATACAAAGTTTTTTAACAACGTTTATATTGAGAAAAAAGTTTCATA